TGATTTTATTTCTCCTGCTAGATAAGGTCTGAGTAGGGGAGTAAAACCAGCTCCAAAGTGGAAATCCTCACATTGCCATTCTGGTTACAAATGGCTTTTGCTTGATTAGTATCCTGCCTGATGTCCTAGGATAAATGCAGACGTTTGCATTGAAGTACTATCACCGGAACAGCATCTTCATCCTGAGGGAACCAGTACGGAGTATACTGGGCAAAATATTTGTATGCCTTACAAAATATAAATCCCAGTAGAGCTTTTCCTGGTTTGTATAGTAGACTTACACGTGGAATTTTACACATGGGTTTCTCCCACTTGTCAGTCGAGTCTTTTAGCATCCCTGACAAGTGAGCTGCAGAGGCTGCAGTAATTTATCCACAATGACCCCTGTTCCTGTACAGGTTAGTAGTGATGCCATATTGAGGTGTCCCTGTCACAGATCATTGTGTTCCAGTCACGGCACAGAGACACCTGTCTAGGACTGATGCTGATGGTCTGGGCTGTGAAATTCAGTAGCTGAGATCCAAGCACCTATGCAGTTGTGCTCATCCTCCACTCTCCCCAAGGTGCAAGGGATGGGGATGGAGGGTCAGGGTGAGGACAATTGCAGAGACACTGCTGGACCCACTGGTGCTTGCTCATCAAGATTTTCAGCACATCTGGGTTGTTTAGTCTTTTATTAGACACACTGATGCCTTGCAGAAGAGTGAAATAAAAAAGGCTTGGTTTTCAGTGTAAAATCTTGATTTGATTTTGTCCAGTGTACATAGCAATGCTTAAGGCAGGTGGTTCAGAGCCAGCAGTGCCTGCCTGAAATGGGAAACTGCAGCTCTGTTGGGAACCCTTTGGCTTCTGAACCCAAAACAAGGGTAAAAAGTAAAAGATTCAGTGTGTTAGAGTGTTAACAGTTCCCTGCTTAATTCACATCCATTTCTCACATAGCTGCTCTTAGTATGTGCAAGAGTAGTGTAGAGGCAACCAAAAGGCTGCAGATAGGGTAATTTGCACAGAAAATTATGTTGACTGCACTGAATATTAACATAAGATATTATTGTAAAGCAGCTCTGAAAATTACATTCAACGAATCTAGTCAATCAACTAATATACTTATTTAGAGAGACAAGCTGTTGTAAAAGAGCACTGTCACAGTTCTCAGCTAGCTAAAAACATATTTTCTCTCATGTTTATCTTTATTGTATCCCCAAAGGATATTTCTTCCTCTCTTTTATGAAGAATTATTTCCATATTTAATTTATATGTACATTTTTTGCTTTTCCTGGAGGACTGAAAATATTTTCTGACTTTTGCAGTTGGTTGAGAAACTTGTTATTAAAACCTTCCTGTCATACTTTTAGTCCCCTTATTTGAAAATCCATTTTCTGTGTCTTTCATTACTGCTGTGTGCTTCTGGACTGCACTTTCCCTCCCTTTGTGAACTTGCCTCAGAAAGAGTCTCCATTCAGCTATCTGGAGGGTCACTTGATTCAAATGTCTTTGTAAATGTCTGAACATTTCTTCTCAAGTCAAGAGCTATTTTCAATAACCAAACATACTTATTGTGCATAGTTTTCCTGAACTACTCCAGTGCCTCGTCTTTAACTGTGTATTTATTGGTTACAGGAGTGCCAGTCCTGTTTGGAGCTGGAGCAGGCTGTGTTTCACAGGGTCCACTCAGAGTTGAGGAGTTCCACAGGGGCTGCTGCAAGCTCTGAAGTTTGGCAGCTCCCTGTAGAGCTCAGAAGTTCTTAGGGCCCTGAACCAAGCATAATTGCAGAGCTGGGGCCTTCACTGTGAAGGACCTCACCAAATAATTAGCTGCCCTAATTAAGCAGCTGAGTAACATTCAGGAAAGTGAACATTTGTGGATAAGAAAGTTGCAAAGCTGATGCGTGCTGGCAATAAATTTCTCTCCTTCTCTGCTTACTGTTGGAATCGCTGCTAAATTGTAGCATGTGATCTTGGCATTGATGGTCTGTGAGCTTCCTTCTCTGGATGGGGGATATTCTGCCATCAGAGTGCCTAGACTTTATGGGCTGTTTGGAAAAAAGCTCTGTTACTTATTAGATTTGTTCATCAAGCAGAATGAACAGTGACATGCTGTTTCATCCTGTTGTTTGGTTGGGTTTTTGTTTTCCTATGCCAAAATCTTCTATTTGAGGCAAATCCAAACTGTGAAGTTACAACTGTACAGTGCAAAGTGGCCTTTTAGAAGGAAGTTTTATTGCCTGGATTCACCTTAGGCACCAGAATGCAAAAACCAAAACATGCAAGATTTAAAGAGGCATAGAAAACAGTTTGTAGGGAAAAATTATCAAAACTCTTCCTCTATCTGTTTGTAATTTTTAATGATGGGATAAACTTTAACATAAACCAACATTTTCGGCCATAGTCAAACAAAATACCAGCTAATATATTTTTTTTAATTTTATTTAAGTCTAAGAACCTTCCTCTCTTCTATAAGTGTATATCAAATACTGGATGTTCCTTAACTCTTTGGAGGGGAGCATGACTGTACTACTGAAAGTTACAAGCACATATAAAAAGAAATACACTTAGTTGTTGTTGTTGTTTTTCTTCTGCTTTTAGATTTTATAACAGCTCACAACCATTTCCAGACTCTGCTGGTAAAATTAAAATCGAGATTCCTGGATTTTAATTGTATTGCAAGGTATAATTAGATGATTTAGCACAAGACATTACTTTTCTCTTAATACTTTGCTCTGTCCCATGTATCCCATGGGCTTGGGTGGTGGCTTTTTTCTTTTTCTTTTTCTTTTTCTTTTTCTTTTTCTTTTTCTTTTTCTTTTTCTTTTTCTTTTTCTTTTTCTTTTTCTTTTTCTTTGAATTAGCTAAATGTGTTTGAAGAGGATGGGGAAGAGGGAGAATGGCCCTTACCTTGTCTGCATGGCTGTCATCAGCTGGAGCATGGCTGGTTCCAGAGATTTTTAATGGAGATATTAAAACCCACAGGCTTTCAAGCAAGGTGGAGGAAAACAAACGTGATCGTGAAAAAACCCAAACTGTTGGAGAAAGTGCACAGAGGTCACTGGAGCTGATTGGAAATATTACTGACTCTTAAAGCCAGTTCTGTCTGTGTGTGTCCTCCTCTTGACAAATAGGGCTGGTTTTCTGATGTCTGGGAAGCCTTTACTTTCTTACCAAACTACCTTTACTTGTTTTTGCTTGAGTAATTGCAGCATGCATGAGAGGTGAGACTGAGACAGGGAAGAATATGAGGCTGTACAGCAACTAATGAGCTGTTTCAGCCCAAAAAAATCAGTCCAGCAGGCTGGTCAGAGCCTTGGAACCTATTAACCTTGATTTGGAAGTCTAAGACTTGACAGCTGGGGCAAAGCAGGGCTGTGTTAAAGAAGTTAAAAGTAAAGCTCTCTCTTTTCTTTCTCACATGCTCACTGGTGAAATGCTGCCTGACTTTTTTTAACATTTCTTTTTTCAAGTGTGATTTCTTATTGTGTAGCTTGACCAGGTGCCTTGCTACTGTGCTACCTATCTGAAAATTATTTGGGGCTTATCCTTCTTCCTGATGAAAAACCACTTTATCTAAGGCACTTGCTTATGCCTACAGAAATCTCACATATTCTCTTCAGATTTTTTTGTGCTCTGTGTTAAGATAAACGTGTTGCTCCATGAAGAATGACTCACTTGGGATCAAATAGGACAATATTTGTGTTAATCAGCTGCATTTCTGTCCTCAGATTTTGCTGCACATTTAAACAAACGCGCTGTAGGCATGAATTAAGGGGGAAGATATGACATGGAATTTCCTGACTTTAAAATAATAACAGTAAGAATCACAATGAGAATAAGAATAAGAATAAGAATAAATCTTTCTCAAGAAAAACTTCATCTGCAAGTGTTTCTTAAATGTGTTGCACATTTGTTTTTCTTTAGAGGATGGGTGGCTAGGGCTCTTCACATGTGGCTACCATATACTGACCTGTTGTGGTTGTGTGATGGTCTGAGTTTGATTAAAGGCTTCAGGTCTTTCCTAATCTGCATTGTTTTGACTGAGCCAGGCTTTGGAGCACAGATACAAGCAGGTAATGCTGGCAGATGTCATGAGTTATGAGAAGCAATTTAGGACAGTAGTCTGTTCCAGCTGCAACAACAAAACAGAGCCAGCACCATGGACACACTTTGGCTGATCTGTTTATATTCTCTGTTACTTCAGTTTAGTTATGCATTCTGTCAACAACCCACAAAAGTAAATCTGTTTTCTACCACCTGCAGAAAAAGGACAAATATTCTTACTCCCTGCAGAAAAAGGACAAATATTCTTACCCCCTGCTAGTCTCCAGCAAAAATAAAGTGATTTCCCTTGCTTTGCCTCAATGTTAAATGCAACTGAGTAGCTTCCCTCTCCCCACTACTTGTTAAATAATGTTTAAAATTGATGCATGTTACATGTTTTAAAACTTGCTTGTCCAGTCTTAAAAGGTTTTACGGAGTGTTTTTCGCAATTACTGGATGCAAACTGTGCTTCTAAACATGTTGACTTAGCTGCTTGTCTCAGAATTTCTCTGGAAATAAAAGGACATGAATTGGTCTTCCATCAAAACCACTTCACTGCATCACATGCAACTATGTCTGCTATAAGTCTGCACACCTTCTTCTCTGCCCCCCTAAATTCTGACACTTTTATGACAATTTGTAATATCTGCCTTTGCTGTTTAATGATGAATTTTGAGATGGTGGTTGAGATCTGTTGGATATCTCCAACTTTATCAGTTGACCCAAGGAAAGAAAGAAACATATGGAAGTATAACCTGATATAGTACTGTGGGTTTGTCTTAAGTTGTTTTTCTTCAGCTTTTTGTAAACTTTGCTTTGTTTCACAGGGTATGTCCCCCTTACCCAGTAGAGCAGAGCTCCACAGACATTGTCTCTGCTGAACAGAGTGCATCTTTGTCTTTAGTGAAACTTGTAGACTCATACATGATTGCTTTCTTTTTTTTGTATTTTCTCTTTTCAAATAACTGTAGGTTCATGTACTGGACAGACTGGGGAGAAGCACCAAAGATAGAACGAGCTGGGATGGATGGTTCAAGCCGCTCCATCATCGTTAACACGGACATATATTGGCCGAACGGACTGACGCTGGATTATGAGGAACAGAAGCTCTATTGGGCAGATGCTAAACTGAATTTCATCCACAAATCAAATCTGGATGGAAGTCATAGGTAAGAAGTTTTTGGGTTTATGGGTGTAATGTGGGGATTTTCTTAGAAGATGCTGCCTAAGCAATATGGTAATCTCTGTTACATCAAATTGTCACATTAGCACTTACAAAATTTTAAGCAGACCAGTGCTGTCAGAAACTTTTATCCTTCACCATCCTCACCTTTCCAGCACTGTGAAGTGGAATGTGTCCTCTTCAGGGTATCTTGTAACTCTCCCAAAGACTTTTCTCAGAACCACTTCATTAAAAAATCCTCAATTCCTGCTCTTAATAGTGTATGACTATATAGCAAAATTGTCTCTTTTCAGTAGGTCTTCTGTGCAGTGTTGCTGTGGTATTCAGAAATGTAGAAGATAATATGAGAAAATGGATCATCATATATTAGTATTTCAGTTTCATTAATCCTAGGGGCTGGGAAATTAGTGGAAAACAGTCTTTAAAGGGGAGCCGTGTTAAGATGACTGTTTTCCTTGAACAGATTTATAGCAATGAAGTGTTTCTTTTTGATCCAATCATGACTACTTCTTAATTAAGGGTATAACCAGTACTTTGTGTATATGTGTTTATCTCTAATTTGAGTGATGACTCTCTTCATTAGATGAGTTTGACAAGTACTGCTTGCACACACTAATAAATCACAGCTTGTGCCCAAGGTGTCATATGGAGAGATGATTTTTCATGGGTTTTTTCTTTGCAAATTTTTGTGATGTTTCAGCTAGTTTAGATGAGCGTGAAATATCCTTTCTTATGCTCTTTGTTCTGGCCTCTTAGGGACTTGCCCATCTTTCACCACAAATGTTAATTTGACATAAAGAAATTAATTTTTCTTGATTCTTTTGTGTGGACTGGCAAGTAGGACCACAAGCAACATGCATGAAACATGCCCACTGTCTTCTTTTGATATTTATTTTGAGCTCCACAATGTCTTTGTAATGCTGGTTTGAAAGGTTACATCACTTTTCTCCTAAGTTCTGCCTTTTAAGTGATCACAAGTTTATGCAGTATCATGGAAAGTACCTGGAGTTGGATGCAGTTTTAAATTTGTGTCTTTGGATATAAGTATTATGACTAGCTTGGTTAATACAAAACATGGATTGTGGATATCTATTTTGAAGTAGTCCTTCATTTGCTGTTTGTTTGACAAGAAATAAAAGACCTTAGTACCAAAAAGAGAGAAATATTTCATTGAGATTCTTTCAAAAAAGAAGGCTGTCACATAGGTTTTCAAGTAATGGAGAGCAAAGGATAGACATTATCATATACAATAGAAATTTGAGTATATTTAATTTTATCTGGGGTCTCTAGCCTTTCTTGTTCCAGAGCTACTTCAGTGTTTCCTGCTGGCAGTTCTACTTTTTCAATCTTGTTTTACTACTGACTTCTTTGCAGTTTCTCTCTTGCTGGTGATCTGTTGCACAGTGGTGTAAATATACTTGTGTTTGGTATTCTCTTTTTATTTTCATGGTGTTTATTCCGTGATCTGCTGTGGGTTAACCTGGGGAATGAGGCTGAGGAGGTGCTGAATTTTCTTGGTGCAAGGGGCTGACCAGTCTTGTCTGTGCATACACAGCTGTGTCCAACAGCTGCCTCCTGGCACAGAATTGAAATCACCTGAGTCCCAGCAGTTATCTCATTCCACAGTCAATTCTCTGGAATTACTTAAGCCTGTAATAAGGACCTGTACAGACAAGTAATTTAGATTTTTAGATCTACTAATTCTTTCTTACACAGCCATTAAAACCAAAGCAGTCCAATGCTTTAGGTTAAGTTTCTTTTTCAAATTCATACATTTCAGTATCAGGAATATGTCGTGGCAGTATGCTAATATATTACTATTGGAGGGGCAGAAAGGGAAGTCATTCCTAGAAAGGAAAGCACATTTGACTTCCCTTAAGCACTCAGAGGCACAAACCAATTCTAACAGCACCTGTTTTTCCCTAGGCATGTGAGAAAGTTCTGAAGATTCAAAAAGCAGTCAACATCTGTATCTAGGCATTTTGGTTTCATTTTTTATTCTTTGCAGTTGCATCATAAGGGGGGGAAAGAAAGAACTGCAGAAGTTAGGCTGTTCTACAGTGGGGTTTTATGTGGTGTTTTTTTTCTGCTGTGACCTCTTAGCCTCTGCGTGTATTAAGAAAAAAGATCTGGGGCTGTCCAAAGTGTTGCTTTTTTTTTTTTTTTTTTTTTTTTTTTTTGTGTAGATACTGTCTTTTGGCTATCCAACAAATTGAGCTTTTTCAATGTGATGTTTTACAGCTATAATTTGTATTTTGTCTCTTAATTACTTTGTTCATCTTTTTCAGTAACTAATTCACAAATACTAGAAAAGAAAACACAGTTTCTAATTCTGCAGCCAAAGCAAAAGCCTTTTAGATTTTCCTTTTCAGTGGAAAAAATCACCCCACCGAACCACCCAAAATCCACAAAGCCTTTAGTCTTTTTTCCTAGCCATCTCCAACTCCTCAAAAAAAAAAAAAAGTAACCATCAAATAACTCCACCTGCAGTTCTCCACCACCACCTCTTAAGAGGGCTATCAGTTAGGGTTTTTTCCTTAAAAGGTAAGTGTGTGGGAAAACGAGATCATTATCAAGTGCCTAATCTAACTTAAACCAGACTCTGGTTTATTTAGAAACTGCCAGTTCTGATTATTTTTTTTTCTTAATATTTAGACCATTTTTCTAAATTGCTGTTTTAAATTTATACTTAGTTGGTTTAAGGTTTTTTGTTTCTAAATTTCTCTTGATCAGAACAGATTCTTTTATCCTCGCGAAGAGTTACTAGTTTTTCTGATGCCTTATCTAATGTCACCATGTCTGGGAAAATATATGCTTCTGGAAGTTGGCACTATTGAAATGAAAAAGGCAAATGGGTTACTGAAATACATATATCTTCATAAAAATTGAGTCTTCTAGATATGGATAGTTTTGGTAACTTAGAAAAGGAAGCAGATGAGTAAAGATTTGATCTGTCAAGTTTTTTACTGTTGCATGACAGGAGGTGGGAAAGAGTCTGTAGCAGGTAAGCAACTGTAAAAGCTCCATGTAAAGTAGGATGGCATAATTTTTAATTGCTTTGGGAGAAATATTTGGTAGGAAGTAACATCCTTCTATAACAAAAAAAATTCAAACAGTTCAGAGAAAACTGACTTTGTGGAAGGAGTTCTCCCTAGAAATTCGTGATATATTTCTAAGTCTGTAAGAAACCCAAAACTTTTTTGTTCTTTTAATCTTAACATTCTGAATATTAGCTCTCTACACCTGACACTACACAATAATTAAAACTTTTAAGATTTATGTCTCAGAGAAGTACTTTGATCTGAATCATAGAATATCCTGAGTTGGGAGGCACCCACAAGGATCATCGAGTCCAACACCTCGCCCTGCACGGACACCCCGACAGTCCCACCCTGTGCATCCCTGAGAGCGTTGTCCAAACGCTGTGACAGACATGAATCCTTGCTGTTTGCAGGGGTCTGGAAAGTGAAAGACTACAATAGGCTGGTGGGAGGATTATGTAGAGAGAGAAACGAATTATAATCCTTGATTTTGGGGTTTGGTGGAGCTTTTGTCACCTCTTCCAGTAGGACTGGAGTCACAGTGAGCCATTAAAGCTGTGTGCAGCATGACAGCTCTGGCAGTGTAGTACTCAGTTAAATATGCGGTAGAGTCATAAATTCGTGAGAAAACCTCTCTAGCAAATTTTACAGGGATGATTATGGTTCATTACCTGCTAGTCCTGGGATTTACTAGCCCTAGCTGCTCCAGTGTTGGGCTCATTAGAATAAAGATGAAGAGCAAAGAACTTGATGACTAATGCCCTTGATTTGCCAGTGAGAGAAAGAAACGAACACTTTTTCATGTCAGAATGCAATAATTACAGAACAAAACTGATGCATAGAAGAGGTGGTTTTGTTTTTTTGCAGCTCTTGCCCTGCTCTTATCAGAGGGAACAGTTGCTTTTTGTGGGACTAATTAAACAAAACTGAAATGCAGACAGCTCTCCTGTGAGTAGAGTCCCCAAGATAGGTTGGCCTGCTAAAGCAGTTCTTGAATTAATTTCCCCTTCCTTTACCCTGCAGCAGCAGTTCTAATTAATAAGTTAACACGTTACTGGCTGAAGGGAAATGCACTTACAAGGTCCCCGAGGAAGTGTTTGTGCTAATGAGATGGTTTTTGAGGCCACTGTAAGAAAACATACTTTCAGCAACTGTCAGAAAGCTGGGAAGCTCTTGCAAGAGGTGAATGTCTTTAAGTTTGCACTTAAGCATTGATTTTTCTAGCTCCTCTTTTCAAGCATCAGCTCATGTCTGTCTGCCAGATGATTAGTTGCAGATGTGTTGAAACACTGAAAATACTGTATCCCTGCATTTATAAGAGGATTTTTTTACTTATTTGCCTATAATGTGTACAGTACATGACATTATGTATGAGGTATAAAATCTCATGTTCTGTTTATATCTTTCTGTCTATTTCTGTGTGATAAAATTGCTTAACACCTTCAAGCAATGAAGAAGAACCAGTCAGTGGTGAGAAGCCTGTTTCAATAGCTCACCAACACAGGCCAGTGCAGAAGTCAAATAATACCCTAATTAAAACTGCTATAGAATCCTGCATAAACAGTATTAATTAGATTACTTGGACATAGAGCTAGGTTGAATTTCTTGGTTCTTCCCCAAGGTACTTCTGAAAACAAAAATGCTGGAAAAGTGGAGCTTCAAAATATCTGTTTGCCTGAAAAATGACCCACAGAATCACTTCATTTCTCAACCATAATTTGATTTCTGATTGACTTTTTCAGACTTTCATTGCAGGTGGGATTTGAAATGTCATGGCTAGACCTGTTTGTTATATATTCTTTCTAGAAACACGTGGCAATTGTGGCTTAAAGAAGTGGCAAAAGGCAAAAACACTTCAGTCTGAAAATAGAGCATTATATCCCACAAATGATGTTTCTTACTTAGCTATTAAAAGCAGGCTTGTCTTCAGATAGGAATATTTGGACAAGCAGTCATGGTAAAAATACATACAAATGCATGACTTTTCTGAGTCTGTGTTGCAAGTTGTTTTTGTTAGGTGGGCAGGAGAGGAGATCCTGTGAGCTGAGGGAACCAGAGCTCCCTGCCCTCCTTGTGGCATGCCTCGTGTAGTGTTTTGTGGGTGCATCTTCATCTTTGATCCTGCTTCATCTGATTCATGCTCTGAGTGCTTTGGCCACTTGCTAGCATTTCCACTTGTCACAAGCTGAAGATGTGTAATTCCTGCAATTTTGTTAATACTCAAAGCATTAAGCAATGCAAATAATATATGGCAAATAAGGTTTTGTTTAAAATATTTTAATTTGCTTCATGCAAACCTCTTACATGCTTTCTTTAATATTTTGAGCACTGAAAGCAGATTTTTTTCCCCCTTTCTAATAGCCTGGGAGATGGTAATAGGTATGGGATCACCCATAGGGACACTGGAGAAATGGAGTGAAACATAAATGTCAAAAATGCTTGCACCCTGCCCTGGAGACAGAAGACAGGCAGCCTCAGAGGTCACCTGAAAGGAGTTTTGCTGCTGTGAAGCTGCAGTGTTAATGGCTTAGAGACATACAGGCCAGAACATCTAAAGTACCCAAGGTTTTCTGCAGGTGTTCTGATCAGGTCTTGAGACTAGAAAACTGTAATGCAGCAAGAATAAAAGGCAGTTGGTTCATGGATAGTGTTTACTTGTTTACTTTTATGGAGAAATGCTGTTATGCTTGGATATAAAACATCTGTTAATATTCTAGGGGAAAAAATAGTCATTATATTTAAAATCTAAATTATCTTGATTATTGCTGGCTTTCTTTTGGTGATCGGAATTACTAAATTTCATAGCTATAACATAGCTTTGAATGCCAGTATTAGTTGAAAAAGAAATAAAGGCAGACTGAGGAAATCCTGGTTAAAATAAAGGATATTAATTTAATGGTTTTTGGTCATTTTGCTGTTAATTTTTATTTCAACTGAGTTTTGTCTTTGTCTGAAATTCATATTATCCTGAAGAAAAAACTTTTTTGACATTGTTTATATAAAATTGGATAGACTGTCTATGAAGTTTCATGTATCCTATTTCAGAGTTCGGTAGCTCCTTTTGTAATTCCTGCTTAAACTTGTTTATTGTTTGTTTCCTTTACGTCACTAAGTTTTTCACAGGACTCTTTAACAGAATAAGAATGTAACAAAGGTGAATATATTTAAATCAGATCTATATTTTCTCCAGACAGTAGAAAACTCTACCATAGCAAATATTTATTGTAACGGCATCTCTGATTACCATGATGATAAACAGTTGTATTTGGGAAAAATTATATTTAACACAGACTGAATTTAATTTCTGTGGAAACTGCTTGTTTTCGCCCTGTGTTTCTCTCCTCACCTTCCTTCTCTGCTGTCCCTTCACTCATTTCCTTCCCAGCCAACTTAATAGAGATTGTGGCCTTTTAAATGTCAATCACCATCCAGATTTTTAAGGCAAATTTATGTGATTATATGTCTGGTGCAGGGAAGATTATTAAAGTTAGTGTGTGCTTAGTTCTATCTAATATAGAGCCAATTTGCATCTTGCTGAGGCCCTGGAGATGTCTCCTGAATGAATAACATTGCTCCTTATCCCCAGCTCTCAGTTTCCCATTGTCTCTGGCGTCTCTTTAAACGAGACTAATGACACAAGTGCAGCAGTCTGAAGGAACCAAGGAGCTTGATGAAGGATAATAGGGTGGAGTGCCTTTTGCTGTCCTGTCTGTCACTTGTTGCAGTGAAGCCTGGCCTGGTAATGTAGCTGCCAGCAAGGAGCTGTCAGTTCCCATCAGCCCAACTGCACTGCAGCGCTGTACCTGGAACCCATCAGGGCCAGGAATGTGGAGACCTCTGTGCTCCCTGACCCTGTATGGGTGCTTGTGAGCCACCCTGGAGGTGGGAGGCACCTGCTCCCATCAGCACTGTGCAGCAGCTGGGTGCTACAGGTGACACTGGTCACCTTCATCCACCAGGGTGTGTTTAATAAACAATGTTACATTTTAACAGCAAATAATTGGTCTGGGCAGAAGTCAGGACCCCTCGTCTTGCTTACCACAAGTAGAGCTCTGCAGTTCCTAGTGCAGGTCGTGCTGGAGCACAGCTGCTCATAGCCGCCATCAGAAGGCCATTTCTTGCTCCCTCTCGTCTTCCTTTTCTTGTTTTTTAATATCTGGGCTCTCCAGCCCCTTCCTCCTGCTCCTCATTAGGGTGTGGAGACTCATTGAGCTCAACGCAAGCCACTGTTTCCATGCTGGCGCACATCATGGGGCTGCTGTTGAGCAGGGCTGCAGGTGGGGCCTGTGGAGGATTTCCAAGGGGGAAAAAGCCCTGCTGGTTTGGTGGTTGGAAGTGAACTATCAGCTTGTACTAGCTTGCTGGAAACAAAGATTACAGAGTACATGTTACTGGTAATACTGATCTTAATGAGATGTGAGAAATACACACTTGTGTTTGGGCCCAAAGCTATCTTCATGCATTGCAACCTTATATCTGCTGAGAAAAATGATGCAAGTTAAGGAGTAATTGCTTCAAGACTGTGACTGACAGCACAGTCAAATGAAGGGCTTCTGAATCTCTGCAGATAAGGTTTAAATAAGGGTCACAGTTCACCTGATGCATTGTCATATGAATAGAGGGTTGTCTCTAACTTAGAAATGTCTAACAGCAGCTATTGTACTCAAAGATTTATTCCCACTACTGGTGGGTACAAATCACATGTAAAATTCCTCTTTGTGTTTTTGGGTTTTTTTTTTTTTTTTTTTTTTTTGTTTTTTTTTTTTTGTTGGTCAGTTTTGTTTTAAAGTAAGTTAGTCAGAATGCTTCATAAAATGTGGCTTCTCTTGTTATGGGAATGCTATCTTTGGTGCAGGTTTGGTTATAGTGAGAGTTTTGGTTTTTGATTGCTTCTGTTTCATATGACAAAATGTCGTATGTGTCATTTGTCAAATGTTGTACAATATGTCATACATAAAGACTTCATCTCCTAGCCTGCTCTAAGCTAAAATTCAAATCTGAAGATATTTAGGTTTTGGGGGTAGAGTTGGTTAAAATGTTTGCAGGTTTAGGATGCCTTTATATTTGGTATGGTACCAGAATATGTTGTGTCATTCTGGCTTCACTGTTTGGCTGGAAGGTTTCAGCTTTAAATTATGTTACAATGGTCTTTTGTAAGATGCTTAGTTGGTGCATTTAATTAGAAGCAAATATATACCTGACTCCAGATAGAGATAAGAAGGAAAAGATACTATGTCCTACTTTTGAGTGCAAAATACCAAGAAATATAAGATCTCATTTCCTGTAGAATTGGAACACTAGAGTGATAAGCAAGGGAATCTATAGGAAAAAAAAAAAAAGCTTTCAAGATAATGCATCTTTTTCCAGAAGCTAAGGTGAAAGGACTGTAATGACTGTAGCTTCTTTGTATTCAGAAGACACCTTCAAGCTTCTTGCTTTAATATACTCTTCTGTTACATTTTAACAGCAAATATTTGGAAAATAAGAGTATTTTTGTCATCTGGTAAACCACTTTAGTTAGACTTATGTCCAGAAGTCATGCCTGTGGTGTGGGGGTGTTTTCTCAGTAAATGTATGGATGATTACTGTCTTCCCTGCAAGAAGAAAAATGGGAGGCTGGTGTTCATAGTGGGCCTTACTCTGAAGGAGTAGCAGGGCTGTGTGTCAATCCCTTGTGCTCCAGTTCAGGACAGGGATGGTGATCCCCACTGTTCAGAAGGACCTTGCCTAGGTGGGAACATACTTCCACTTAGGCAGTTAAGAAGAAAAGAGGTGAGAAGAAGCACTCCTGTAAGTGGTACTTGTGTGGTGGCCATGCTTTGTGTTGGTCCAGATGACCTCTGTAGTCCTCTCCATCTTAAACTTTTCTGTGATTCTGAATAAAATAAAAATAAGACTTGAGCTACTTAATTCCAGTTCTGAGGATTTTAGGTACAGATAATTAGTTTCTACATCACAAGAATCTGGAAAAACTGTCTTCAGTAATGTTTGTGCTGCATTTTTTGTGATGGCTAATGAGCATGTCTTTGTATATATACATAAAATATATGAGTATATGCTTTAATTTTGTTTGTGAACCTGGAGAGAGGCAGTGACCCAGTTTGCTCAGAAATTATATCATTACTGTGGCAGAAAAATCACTAGAACTCTGTTTAATGGCACTGCTTATAGTAAAAACAATAGCTTAATAATTATCATAATAATGGAAGTAACTTTAAGGATTTCTTTAGAGTGAAAAACTACTTTACAGTATTTTTTTTGATGGTTGAAAAGAGGAACTGGAAGAGATGGATGGATAGCTAATTGACCAGTTTGTCTCAGTGTGAAATCTGCTGAGGCTGGAATTGGTGGACATGGTGTACCAGCAGGTAGCAGTCAGACTTGCATAAAATCAGCTGGGGTTCATGTGGTGGCAGAGAACCCTCCAGGCATGGACTGTTCAAGAGATGAAAAGTACCAACAGATCTCGGTAAGGATTTTAGTTAGCATCTCTTGGGCTTCTCAGCATCAGTAGGCAGCCTGAAAATAGTATTCCAGTGTTGTTCCTTCATATCATTCCCCAAAGCATTTGTTTCCCAGAAATAAATAAATGCAAAGTTCTGATCAACAGTACCCAAACTTCTTTTCACGGAAGCTTTGTTCAAGCAAAACTGTCACATGAATTGTGTCTGAGCATTCATTTTCTCCCTGTGCTCTATTAGGCAAGCAGTGGTTAAAGGCTCCCTTCCACATCCCTTTGCTTTGACACTGTTTGGGGACACGTTGTACTGGACTGACTGGAACACACATTCCATCTTGGCCTGCAGCAAGTACTCCGGGGAGGACCTGCGTGAAATCCATTCCAACATCTTCTCTCCCATGGATATCCATGCCTTCAGCCAGAAGAGGCAGCCAAATGGTAAGCTGTCTTGCTGTCCTTTTTTAATTGCAATCTGGAACTGATTTGCAAAAATCCTAATTAGTCTTTCTGTATGGCACTGGGTAGCTTCACCCACGTCATGATGCAATTTTTCCAGTGCAGAGAATGGCAGAAGACCCAAAGGGAAACCAGATATTCTCTACATTTATTGCAAGGATTTTTAAGTGCAAGAAAACCCCCCATCTCTTACTTTTTTTTCTGCCCGACATGTTTATGCTCTTGTATTTTTCTGTTTCCTGTACCATAACTACAGGCAACACAGTATTTTAATTTTTCTAAGTGGTAGTTCCTGAGTGGAAAATAGTGTTAATTTGGCAGATGATATTAAGCAGGACTAGCTCTGTGTAGTAACCACTGTCTTAACCATTGTGTTAATTTACTGTATTTGCATTTTGTTTTTATATATACATTCAGCACCAGTATGCTGAAGAGTTTGTAAAAATGAGAAGAGCAGAGCTGAAACAAAGTTCTTGTTTAGAGCTAAGTGCTACTTTCCCAAGAAGGGAAACATTCAACATCCCTGCATTTTGGTACCATAAGTACCCCACTACTCAACACTTGGAAGTAATTTTTACTTGTTCTGTGTTTATCATTTCCTCCTTTAATCTGTGTTGCTGCCACTGATTCTACCACTCAAATGCTGTTGTGTCTTAACACATGATATGAGGTCATTCGTTATCAGAAACATTAATCTCTGTGATTTATGTTTAACAGCTACAAACCCATGTGGAACTAATAATGGTGGCTGCTCCCACTTGTGTTTGATGTCTCCTACCAAGCCCTCTTATCAGTGTGCATGTCCCACTGGTGTGAAACTTCTTGAGAATGGAAAGACCTGCAAAGATGGTAGGCTTTGTTTTTAAAAAATCCTTTAGATTAAGCACAAAGTAGCTTTTGGAGGGAAAGGGGTTCTTCTAGCTGCACTATGTGAATGATGCACATTAGGGGTGGCAAATTCTGAAACTATGTATGCTTTTGCAGTACAGATAAAAGTGATTAAAAATGCCCTCTACATTTTAAAAAGGAAGAATTCTCGTGACCAAAGGGCAGGTTATCTCCAGTTACAAAATCTAAGTTGCAGTTCTATCTCTGTCACTAACTCCCTGCAAGTTTTGGGGGGCTCGGTTGTTGCTTTTTCTTAGAGAAAAAGACACCTACATCCCTGTTGTCTCTAAAATATTTCTGACATTGATCATGAAGTATTTGGCTAATTAGATTGTACAACAAGTCCTTTTTATTTTTTTTTTAAAGTCTGATGTCCATTTATTATACACACTTACGCCTGGCATCTCTCTGAAAAAAATGACATGTTTTTAGAGGTGCTGAAAGCCCTGAAAGTCAAGACGTGATCAAGATTTGGGGCTGCAAGCTCTGACCCAAAACTGCTTTTAGTTTCTCATTGTGGGCTAATATACATGATTTTAAATTGTTATATTTTGTAAGTGTAGGTCTTGTGATGTGTTGTGGTTGCTGTAGTACACTAACAGGCTCAAAATTAACACTGGGAGATAATTAGCTGGATCATAAATAACCATCTTTCATGCAGATCATCTCCCTAGGACAGAAGTAAATAGAGGAAGAAATGATACAGCAGAGCTTAGTGTAAATGAGCCAAATAAAATGGGTACAGAAATATTATTTTAATTGGAGTTTTATATTTTAAAAATTATTTCAGGTTTGTCAGCTATGTTCAGAATTTTCTTTAATTTCATGCTATTTCATGCTCTCTGTTGATTATTTTTGTGTGTCTCTGTGAACCTTGTTAAAATAAATTGCTGCTTTTATGTGAAAAACAGCTCCCAATTTAGCCTGGCAGGATTGTTTATAAGACTTTCCCAATACACAAACAAGATGTTTTTCTTCCATTTCCCTTGGTGTAAGGAGAAGCTTTAATAATACTGCTCTGGGTTGGTTGTATGTAGTGAGAATGTGACACAAATCCATGTGCTTTTTCAAAAATACTTGATATGCACAGATAAATTCCAGTGTATCAAAGTAAATTACCAAGGGTAAGTAGAAGAATGGTATTAAAAATCCACCCCAGAACCTTATTAAAAGGATTTTTCAAGCAGAGATATTCAGAATCATCAGTTCACTTTTTTAGCCATTTCTTATGTCTCAGAATTTATAACTGTTGCTCTTTTCTCCCACTCCCTGAACATGAGAAACCAAATTTTATGTTCCCAGTCAGCCATAATATGTATTTGATTTACAGAATATAAGCCCCCACTGTACTAGAAATATTGTTAACCAAGTTGCTACAGTATTTTGTCCAGTTGTATGCAAAAAACTGTATACAGGAACATTTCTCTTATGCTTGTCAATATCATGTTGCATTTTAAACCACCATTCTGCTGCTTTATCTTTTGGCACATTCTGCCTCTGCCTTTTCAGAAGAAAAAGGGTGGGAAGAGGGGGGAAAATTGAGACTGTTTATTTAACTCGGTCTTAGAAAGGAGACAGCACATAACCCAGATGAAACAACCTACTCAAATTATTCATCAGGTCCATTGGTTTTGTGCAGCTTTGATCCTGTGCAGGGCTAATTTCTGACATACTCATGCAAGAAGTTCAGCATTTAGAGCTGAGCATGCCCCAAAACAGTGATTTTTTTTTTTCTTTTTTTTTCACTCCTCTCTCCCTGAGGGGAGGTGCAGATCCCTAAGACTCTGGGCTTTTGTGAGTGACCTACAACTTTGCAGAGCTCTTCAAGGCACAGATCCCCTGGAACTCCTTCCTGTAGGTGCAAAGGCTGCAATTATTGATTTGGGGGAGGGAGGAGAGCATGGCACTTGAACAGAGGCAGAGTAGCCATAGATCAGAGTTCAAGATGTAAATGTGGACTTGTCTCTGTGGGGACTTCCTTTCTTAGGCTCCTCCAGGACCCCTGGGAAGTAAATTTGTTTTCTCATTTTCAGGTGTGCAGAGGTGGGGGATTGATTCTGGTTTCTTCGGCTGTTTTTTTTCTTCTTGTACCTTCCTGTTCTCTGTATCTGCTGTGAAAGTAGAGTGGAACCCTGAGAACTGAACATTTTTACTTCAGCTAGTTTCAGTACACATCTGTAATGCTGCAGTGCTGATTAAATCTCCATTTGCAATTAGAATGTGTACATGACCATGGGAGAGACTGGTGACTGATAAGTGAAGAAAGGTGAAAAATTAGGCCGAGTTTCTCTTCTTTAAGATGGTTTTGTCTTCTAGCAGTAGACTAAAATCAGACTGGTTCCTGAACCAAATTGTTTCATGGTGAAATGAGCCTCTTTGAGGAGAGAGCTGTATTTCATGCTGTGCTGTGGAGAATACTGGGCTGCCGTGGAAGGATTTTGATGGGTGAATTTTGAGTGTGTGTTTGTGGTGTTTGCAGTGCTTTGGCATTGACAGATGATGCTGGCAGCCAAAGGTGAGGCTGGCTGACCCTCCCTGAGCAGTTTCCATGACAACCTAGCGTTTTTGAATAATCTTGGTTTATAGGAAATCTTTTCCTCCCTTGCCTTTCTCCCAGTGCTAGTTTGTCCATTTTTTTAGGGAGATTTCTTTTATCATACCTTCGAGGAGTTTTACTATTTCTGGTAAGATCTGTGAATACAATAACACACACACATTCCAATTTTGAAAGATTTCTCCACAGTGTTTCAGGAAGGCATGATACCTCAGAATAAAACTACCTATTTTTCTGATACCTGATAATACAAACCAAAACAGTGAAGTATACTGAGATGTGGGCTTCTAGCAAGGTTTTAGCTCCCCCATTGCCTAGGTGAAAGTTTTTAAATCCCTGTCCCTCAAGCAAAAGAGGGGCAAAGTAAGTTATTTCATGGCCAGATAGTCCTCTATCAGTAACATGTGAAGCAAAGAGTCTTTTCTGAGCACCCAGGCAGGACTTGGGTCTTCTGCTAGAGAGCTTTTACCACCTTGTGTCATATTCTTGGTAATGTATTGTTCTTCTGCACAACATACTGGAATTTGTTTTTCAGTATTGTGTGTTCTGCTGTTCTGAGTTTGGCAGTGCTACATTCAAATGATCTTTTAATAGTTGTAAGACAAACCTGAATTTTCTGATATAAACGAGTTTGTCATTGGAGTTAGATTCTTACTGGTGCTTGAAGATCTCTGTCCATGTGCTCAGCTTCTGTCTTTCCCTGTAAGGAGTTTGACTTGTGTCCTGCAGCTGCTTCTGCCAATAGTGAAAGGTGGTTTAAACTGAGAAAACCAGTGGTGACTTCAGCTGAGCAAGGAGGTGTGAGTTGCCTCACAAAGAAAAAGCAGTGCTTCACGCTTTGATTTCAGCCTTGCTTTGGTCATTCTGTTCTCTTCCAGGAGAAGAGTCTTTAATTTGCCCATCGATACTCACATCCTGTTTCCCTGGTAGGCCTGGAGGCAGAAAGCAGAATTTTGCACTTCCTTTTGCAATTTAGGGCTGCCCACTGCCTAATTTGCTTTGTCAGAAATAGCCAGGATTCTGATTTGACAGCACAGATCAGGATGTTAGTTTCACACCTTAATTCTTTAATTTCTTTTAAGGGAAATAAGAACTATATAATTAATTGCAGATGCATATTCTTTTGCCTTTGTAGTTTTAAGGTTGAGCTTACATGAAAAACTCTTGTTTATATTGCTGTATCAGGGACTCTTTCACAATAGTGACTTCAAAACTGGAGAAAAATATTTAGGAATTAATTGTTTTGGTCAAATGTGAAGTAATTCTATTTGGGATGTATTAATAATCGTGATTTCTCAGATACAGGGAATGCATTATACATGCCTTGGGTCTAGCACTTCTTTTGTATGCATTCCTGAGCATGTGTCTGTGTAGCTCAGCAACCACTGATAGTTTTAAAGTTCAATAACTTACAAATGACTGAGGCCTGTATATCATTGAGAAGATGTAATTAATTATAAAGGTTAGAAGGGCATTGGACTTAAAGCTGTGCCCTTGCGTGTATCTTCGTGCTTGCTCTGATTCACCCTTTCTCCCCTTTCTTTTGACTTCAGCTATCACACAGATTTAAATTATTTAGAATTTTAACAGTGAATTTTTGAGGCAAGCATTAGTTCCAGTACTAATGTAATGCACCGTCCGTGAGCTTGTAATCCCAGCTTTCAAAGTGCTTAATAAAAGTAGGCTAAAGCTCTCAAAACTAAGAGTCTGGAGTAGTAAGGCTTATATGTCCATATTTAGACAAGTAAGGGACTTGGCTTTCAAAAAATTGCTAACTCTCTTGAATATCCTGTGACTTGAGACACTGCTAAAAAGAATCTTGAGCTTAGTCCACAAGTTGAATGGTTTAGAAACAGAGAGAAAACTGCCTCAGGTCTGCATATGTGTGTGAGATCAGAGTTCTGGCTGCCGCCTCCATGTGCCCTTTGAAAGCATCTAAGCCAGCTGAGGTTTGAGGAGTTTTATACGTTTGTGACTTGTTCCAGTTCCCCTAATAAGTGCTGATAATTTTTTTTTAAAAGCCAAAAATAAAGTTATGCTTGCATGCAGTCTGCATTGTCTTTTTCTTTTTTCGAAATACGATTCTGTACTCATGATATTCTCTCCCTCATACTCATCATTAGAGGCTTGATTTTTCTTAGGCAAGGCAAGAGGTCTGGAGATCCTGCTGTCATCTTAGCTTTTGCTTCCTAACTGATCTTTGGAGTAGAAGTGGACAAAATTGATTGGTTTTGTCATGTCCTGGCGCCCTTGAGCATCTTCTGAGTGGTGATCAGTGCCTAGCCAGGTAAACTTTGCACAGCTGGTGTTTGCCACACTTCTGAGACCACCTGGGGTTCTTTTCCCCGGCTGTTATCAAGGCGGTAATGGGATCAGTCTATAAATACGGCCAGCTCTTGCTATTGTCAGGACAAGCCTGGAGGTATTCAGGGCGATCTTTCCCTCAACCTGCCTGGAGGTGTGGTGCTTCTCTGCTGCTCGGTTTCTTTTTCCTGAGCAGAATGACTGCTGATCTAACTAAGCAGCTGAGGTGTTGGTTTGCAAATGTTTGGGTAATAGCTCTGAAGCAAGCTTTAAACTTTTTATTGCCTGGTTGGAGGGCTCAGGGCTGGTGTTTGATGGAGGGATTGGAATGCTGGCAAAGCCGCCAGATAAGGACCATGAAATTCTTAGCTCGGGGTTCCAGAGTCCAACACGGGTTAGCTGAAAGCCAGTCATTTCCCAGTGCTGAATTAAAGCTTAAACACAGTGGGTTGTTTGACTAAACAAATGTTGCAGGCTGAAAGCAGGATACTGAAGCTGTTGAAATGGGTCGTCTTTGGGGAGAATGGGAAGGTCAATTGGTCAATTTTAAGGGTGAGTTCGAGCAAGGGTATGGCTATACTGAACGGAGTCTTTCTGGAAACCTGGCATTGGCTCTCTAAAATGAGTGTCAACTTCAGCCAGAGCACACAAATTATTTTTAAATTATGCCTTACACTATTTCTGTATATGGTAGACAATTTATATATTTTGAACTCTGAGGTTAGGGCATTTGCTCAACCTTAGGTTTACTTGATAATGCAAAAAAGATGTAATTGTTTGGGGTTTTTAATATGTTTGTCATTATTAAGTTTAAAAATCAGGTTGGATAAATGACTTTGAAGTTGCTAAGAAAATGTAGTAGGGGTTTCTTTCTTCCTTCAACCTAAATTGTAGAGATTAGTACGTACTAAGACTTTCTGTTAACATAGTGCACCTGTCTGCTTGAATTTTGATGCTGAATTTTTTTGTTGTACATTAAGTCTGCTGTGTCAAGATTAATTGCTTCTGTAATTATAAAAACAAACCCCTCTCTAACAGACCTTTTTTCCATTGGCTGTGTCTCATGCTTTACAGTATTTTGAAGGATACATAGGCATGTAATTACAGGTTCCCCCCTCCTGATTAATTAATGCATAAGAGTTACTCACTGGAAGAACAGCTGAGTAGTGTGCACATATATTTCTGAACACAAGGTGTTTTAGGGCAGAGGGTCCCAAAGCTGATCTTAGTGCATTCTGGACTACCAATCAGAAACACTTGTAATAATATCCTCAACTTCAGTTGTTGAGAGGTGCTGTTTCCTGCAGCACTGTGAAAGTGTCTTAGAGGTTTTTAACACCTAAAACTTGCTGTAAATGAAGCAGTGGCTGCTTTGGCATCTTTCCAAGGTTTAGCATGCAGTGAGGTTTCAGCTAGCACCGACATCAATCACTGTCTTTTTTTTTTAAAACAAATTTGGCATCAGACACCAAAATTCTTCTTTCATCACCAACTTACTTCAGTTTTAGCTCTTTCAGTCTTCTAGCTCTTATTTATCCCTGTTACACATCAAAATCGGGACACGGACACAATGTGGCTTGGCGATTGCTCATTTTCACTGCATGTTCATGCATTTGTTTTCCTAAGCCTTCTCCACCCTCCCCCTCATCCTCCATCAGTCCCTGCCAAAGCCCGTCCTCTCACTCTTTGAGGAGAGCCATTGCATCACACTTTCCCTGCAATTATACATGCATTTTTCACCTTAGCCCAGGCTTCCCTCGGGCCTGAGCTGCTCTTATCTCCCTAAGACTCCAAACTGATAAGCCAGTTTAATTGGAATGGGGTGTGGTGGTTGTTTATCCTTCATTACCTTGAAAACTGGGGACATAGAATAGAAAATTAAATGAAAATGAATTAGATTAGACAATAAGTGCAACTGCCATTGACAGTACCATTAAACATGCTGTGTTGCCTATGTGAAAACATCTTCTGCAGTGCAAGCTGATCTTGGTCATTTATTGTGATTCTGACTTTTGACCCAAAAACCAGCAAGGCTTTTGTGTGCTTTGGCTCAAAATTACCTTATAAGACACTGTTATTTATCTTCATGTTTTCAATAAGCTTATTCTTAGCAAATGTGGGAGAAAGTGACAGCCCTCCTGCTCTGCATAGTCGTGGCACAGTGGTCTGTTCCCAAATCTGACTCCTCCAATTAGAGTTTCTCAAAAGAGGTTTACTCATGGTGTTCTCTGTTACATGTTGAAACATACAGCTTGTTTGTCATGGTTGTCCTCTCACCAACAGCAGCAAACAGTCAGTAAATAATTAATTTCTCATCTAAGAGGTTGCAGGCCATCTGTTGATTTGCATAAAATAGCAGCATAATTGCTGCATATCTGTTTCAGTAATTTGGAGGGAACGATATGGGTAGAGAATATGTGCAACATGATACATTCTGGGAAAGGAAAGGACCACTGAATTTTCTCTGTAAACACATCTGACTTGTTCTGAAGAAGAATGAGCAGAGACATTGTGAGCAGCTTGGAGTGGAATTCTCTGCTGGTACCCAGCAGTTTGGTTAGGTCCTGTGAAATCAAGGTAGTTAGACCACGTTGTTGGGAAAGAACAGACTGAAGTTCCCTGTTTCCAGACCTCTTGCACAGTGTTTCTAAGGAGTTTGTGTTTGTCCTGTTCCTGCAGGTGCCACCGCACTGCTGCTCCTGGCCCGCCGGACGGACCTGAGGCGCATTTCCTTGGACACGCCCGATTTCACGGACATCGTGCTGCCGCTGGAGGACATCCGCCATGCCATCGCCATCGACTTCGATCCTCTGGAAGGATACATCTACTGGACGGACGACGAAGTGAGGGCCATCCGCCGCTCCTTCCTGGACGGCTCGGGCAGCCAGTTCGTGGTCACGGCGCAGATCGCGCACCCCGATGGCATCGCTGTGGACTGGGTGGCCCGCAACCTGTACTGGACGGACACTGGCACGGACCGCATTGAAGTCACCAGGCTTAATGGCACCATGAGGAAAATCTTGATATCAGAAGACCTGGAAGAACCCAGAGCTATTGTGCTGGATCCCATGGTTGGGTGAGGAGCTGTTTGTGAGCATTTTTTAAAGTATTGGTCATGCAAAGAAGATACCTCTGTCTGCTTCTATGTAGATCATGGGGTGCAGTGATAAACTTCTGAGCTTTCCAAATGAAAATACTGGGATTCTCTGAAAGTTGAGGCTCTGAGGCACAAGCACTGCTGCTCTATTTTGACCTCCTGGGTGTCCATATTTTATTATTTTTAAAAATATTTTTGTGGACTGCGTGAATTGGCTTGTTTATTCTAGCTAATAGCACTGGTTATATTGTCTTTCTGAGCAGACTGATACAGCAATTTTGTGTGTTTACATGCCAATTCTTTCTGAATGGTTTAGGCATTCTTACCTAGCTAAGGAAATATTTTTGGATTAGGGATGTAATTTTCTGCATGCCATGTGGTTTTGGGGAAGAGTAGACCAGAAGAAGCTATAAGAATATTGGAGGTTTGGATTAATAAGGTATTGTTTCCTTTGCAGGTACATGTACTGGACTGACTGGGGAGAAATCCCAAAAATTGAGAGGGCAGCACTGGATGGCTCAGACAGAATTGTGCTGGTGAACACCTCGCTTGGCTGGCCAAATGGGTTGGCACTGGATTATGCAGAAAGCAAAATATACTGGGGAGATGCCAAAACAGACAAAATAGAGGTTTGTAACTGTATCTACATTTTTTATTCCATGAAGTTGTAGAATGAAGTTTTGCGTTTCTAGGTGTTCATATTCTGATACAGCCGGAAAGAGTGATGGGATGGTGGTTGAGTTGTGCTTTAAGAAACAACTCTGTTCTTCTCAGCCTTTGGGCAAGTTACTTGCTGTTCTTCCCTCATTTTTTGGTGTAAAATAGAAATTATATCCATGTACTAGAGCTGTCTTTGTAAGTATGTGTGATAAGGACTTGTTAAATAAGTCAATCCTTAGGTCATCAGGGGAAAAAGCTTTTTACTGGGATTAATGTATGTAGTTTTAAAAAAAAATTATCCTTCAGTCATTGCACTGCTCAATTCAGAGCCTAGTAAAATATGTTTTAAAGAAATAAATCTTCATTCACATATACTTATTTATACTTCCAGAAATCCTTCATACTTTGCATCTCCCTTGTTTAATTAGAGTTTCAGCAAGAGCACAGATTTTCTTTTCTTCCTGACATGTCCAGTTGAAACTTTTAATTAAAAAGAAAGATACTTTTTCTTCTCTCCCACATTGAAAGTCTTGCATTTATTTTTGTTGTGTAACAGTTACGAAACAAATTTGGCATTTATTATCTGTCAGTCTTTGAGAAAATTGTATTGTTTAGTTTTTGATCAGTTTGCTGTCAAAAGCTTTTGTTGGAAGTGGAAGACTTGACTGCTCCCTGGTGCACAGGTCTGCCTGTGCTGTGTCCTGGTAGATTTGCCTTCCTTTGAGGAATCAGGGCTTTCCTTGTTGATTCCTAACTGTTGCAAATAATTTTTAGCACTTATCATATTAGGCACAATCATATCTTTTCTAGACTTACAAAGTTGTTTTTACTCATTTATAACTACAAATAAGTAAAGGTGAAGTCATAGTCATGTGCTGGAAGGTCACATAACATCAGCTGTCCTTTAGAGCCAAAGTAACTCCAGTCCTCCAAGGTGAGTTGCTTGAAGCAGTCCTTGAGAAAGCTTCAGGGAGCAGAGTTTTCTCTGTCCTGAAAACAAGATTTATAGTTTGTAATTCACCTAATATTACACCAGCTATGAGAAAAGAGGAGAAAATAGTCATGTGTAGAGATTTATTGATTGAGCACTTCAGTCCTGACACTGTCTCAGCCTTGAATGTGTTTTGCAAAAGGAAGGTTAGGCATTCTTCACCCTCATGTTTGCCAGAACTCTGAGATTCGTTATTCATTAATAATGGTTCTATTCAGTGCTGGATCAGTTTGTGGCAGAAATTTTCATCTAGATCAGGCATGAGCTCACTGCTGCAATTCTGTCAAACTGGCTAGAACACATCATAGAATGTTTATGTTGACATTACAGACTCTGTGGCAGGACAGAAGATATCTGATTTGGCACAAAGGTTTTTTGGGACAATTTCCATTTCATTGTTCTTAAATCAGTGTAAGCCAGCAAAATGAGTTTGTTCCAGGTTGTCATGTACCATTTATGCAGGGCATCAGAAAAGATTTATCACTCTAAGATTTCAGAATTACTAGTTATTTTTTCCTATGAGTCTCCAAGTGTTAGAGTTCTATTACTGCTGCTGCTTTTTATAAAAAGTTAACATTTGTTAATTCTTATCAACTTGCAGTAAATCTTGAAACAGTCAGGCTAAAACCTTAAAAGCAACAGAGAAGTAGTTCTCCCACAGTTTTTCTTCGGTGCTTTTGGATTTTAGTTTTGTTTGAGGATGTGGGTTTGTATTTTTTGATTCCTGAAGGTGTTCATTTAGGCATATGTGACATAGGTCTATAAAATTTTGTGTAAGGTGACCAACACTTCCCACACGCCTTTTTTGACAGAAGATGTTGGTCCTTGTAACTAATTTTAGGTAGTGGGTGCAGAACAAACAAAAGTAGATGTTGTAAGTTGTGGAAATGTTTGTAGATGTTAAAAGCTTGCACATGTTACTAGGAAGACTGGGTAGGTTTGTGGAAGGGAATTCCCCTGCAATTCTGAACTACAAATCACTGAACTGTAAATTGCTGTAGAAGAAAGGATTCTTCTCGAAAAGTTTCTGTATGCATTTCCTTTGTTATGCAGTTCTGTGAGTGTGTTGATTATTCTATAAGATACTGGGGTGGGTAGACCTTTGGATGGAACCCATACAGCCTCTCTCCTCCTGTGTTGGGGCCATTCTGTCATGTTCTTCCTTAGATGCAATGTTGTTGCTTGCTAACTGCACTTCAGAGGGGCAGCAAGGGGTTCAAAATCAGTGACCCTGGTAGTGATCAGCACATATATTCAGTGTGGCTTCTGTAGTTAGTAAAGCATGGAAGGGCTTTATAGGAGGAAGTGGGGGTGTCCATCCAAGAGAATGATTTAGTCTAAAGGGGATTTTTTTTTTATCCACACCTGTCATGATTAAGGAATGGTGCTCCCCAGTTTAGTGCTCCCACCAAGACTCCAAACCACACACTACCCACTTCCCCCAACATGATGGAGAGGAGAATGGAGGCACAAAAAGCAAAGATCCCTGGCTGAGATAAGAATAATATACTGAAAACAGCGATGAGATAAGAAAACTAACAGTAACAGCACAATAGTAATGAGAGAAAGAAATTGTTCATTCAGAATATTCCTGACAATAGAAAAAACCTGGATGGCTCCCTCTCCCCCCTGCTGTGTTTCCTCAATTTGAAGGAACCCCTTCTCCCTGGAAGACAGTCCTTTCCTCCACCCCCAGCAGTGACTTGAGGGGGTGCAGAATAATCTCCAGGTCCTGGCCATGCTGACTACTGCAGAAATGAAACCTGTCCTGCCCAGAACCAGGACATGTCCTACCCCTTATTTTATACCAGATACATCATGTCCAGGTCCTACTCCTTCCAACTATATGCATGTATATATCCACACAGACACAAAGTACAGCTCTCATTTCTGTAGTCAATGGCCATCCCCCCAAGATGTCTGTTGAGTTAATTTAGTCCATGGCTGTGGGTTCTATCTGTCCCAAGTGTCTTCCAGGGCAGGAGGACTCTTGTGATGTTGGCTGGTTGCAGATTACATCAGGAGCTCATGACTGCTGTATCTGGAGCAGTCCATCCTCATTGTCCATGGAGTTATGGCATGCAGTGCCAGTGTCATTCAGCAACCAATATTATACAGCTCAACATGCTGTTCTCACTCAAAAAATAAATCCCCCTGAGGTACCCATTTTGTATCCCCATCCCTCTACATCACCCACCAAGTGCACCCCAGTCTTGAACAAAACAATCCCGTGGATGGGTTTGCCAGAACACTGGCGTAGGTGCAACAAAGAAAGGTATTTATGACAGGTTCCAATGATGAAACTTGGAATTGGACATGAAGGCATCCGAATAAAATGCTTGGTCCCTGCTTTGCTTCATGTGTTTGTGTATAGTTGAAAAGGGGGATAAAAGCAGGAGAAATGCATGTGTGTACTTGCCTTTATTGCCTTTAAGTAGTTCTTTCATACATGATTTTACATACTTTGTGATTTTCTCATTTTTCTCGCCATTGCATGTGGGATTTCTCAGAACCGTTATTTAATTGCAGGGGTACCGAACTGAATGTCATTCTTGCAAGCCACGTTTCTGGTTTGTCTGTGCTACGTAGGAGTTTTTATTATTTATTTTTTACCCACTGATACATGCTATGCTGTTCTGGAGCCCCCAGACGATAATAAAGCATCAGCAGGGGTTAATGGAGACTGGCAGGGGGTACAGCAGGGAGCTTTTGTTCCCATTTTATCTGGCAGCCTGCAGCAGGCAGAAGCAGGCTGTGGCTCAACAGCTTCGTCATTTATCTCGGTCAGGTTTCACTGCTGATAAACTTCTATTGAAATGGATGGCTGCTATTGTGCTTACCAGTGGGGAAGATTTCTCATTGACTTGCTACAGGTTTAAAGCATTTTCCTGCCGTGCTATGAGGTTAAAAATGTATGATCTGCTCTGTTGAATTGGTCTTGTGTTTTCCTGCTCTAGTGAATATTTGTGTTCTTGGCACGTACGCTACCTGTTTTAAGGCATAGGTTGGATTTTTAAATGGTCAGCAAAGCTGGTATTGATAAAGCAATTATAAATGGCTGCATGCATGTGTGGCTGTGTGTGTTAAGGGGACGTCATGTTGATATGGCTGATTTCTCATAGTTTTTCAATCTCTGCTTCATTTTTCTTTATTCATCCTCTCCTATTCTCCATTCTCAGAGCCGGAGGTGACACCCACTAACACCTACTAGTGGTGAGTGTAAAGAAAGGATGTGCCTCCTGCTCAGATCCAACCATTATCTGGTGATTTTTGAGTGCAGCTCCAACTTGGAGTGTTTGTGCATTCCCAAATCTATTAGCCGTGCCTGGCATTACTGTCTCTAATCCTCATGATTAATATGGAAAGTATTACATCCTGCTGTTTTTCAGCTTAAGTACACACCAGTGTTCAGAACTCAGCCTTGCTGGACAACAGAAAAGCAGATGCTGCTAAGACTTTATAGAGCACAGAAATCTTGAACAGAGAGGACATTTTTGTCTTTGACCTAGGAGCTAATGGTCTGGCATCTAGAGAATGCTCTAATTCATATTCTAATCCTGAAATTGCAGGGCTGTATTTTCCTCCAATGACAACTGCCTCAATTTTACTGCCACCCTAATAAGGAAATTTTGTTTTCTAAGTATACACCAATTATTTTCTGACTGAGAATTTTTGTCTCATACCATTAGTCTTTGTACTGTGAAATGCTGATGACTTGCAAGCCCGGTTACTGATCCTACCCCATCCAGCCTACTTGAAGCACAGGTTTGAAAACTGAGAAGTAGAATCCATTCCATTCCTAGCTCTTGAACACAGTTGCTTTTGTGTACTTGCATTAAACTTTTGCAGGTATGAGAAGTAAGGTAGTTGAAACAAATACCTGAAGTTGCTTTGCTGTTTACTTTTGCCTTTGGATAGTTGTGGCACTTGGGAATTTCATTCAACAAAAAACAAGTATGTACTATAGAGGGTAGGGAC